ATAATAGTCGGAGATTTTTTTTTTTTTTTTTTTTTAAATTTATTTTTACTCTCGAATATTCTTTATTTTTTCAACACACCACTTGTCAAATGTTCTCCGGGGTTAATGAGACTCTTGTTGCAAAAATTCCAAACGTTTTTATTTGTGAACAGATGTCGAACCTGTTCCGGTTAATTTTTTTTTTTTTAAAATCGTCACCATCGCAAGGAACAGTTTGTGTGTTTCGAATATTTAAAAAAAAAAAAAAGAGCGGTAAAATTAGTTGTATAGTTTTGATTTCCCCCACCCCCCACCCCCACCCTCCTCTTTTCTCTTGTAAAAAATTAATAATAATAATAATAATAAAATAATATTGTTAAAAAACGTATGCAAGCGCGTCAGGTATGTTGGTACGATTCGTTGGTCGAAAGTGGTGGCACCATTCGGATTAAATAGCGTGTGTGTGTTTTAGTCGAAAAGGGAGGGGGGAGGAGGGGAAAGGGTTATTCATAAAAGAAAAAGATTAATGGATTTTAAGCTAAGGTTGGTTTTGTCAGGCGAGTAGAAAGGGCGAGAGTTCAAGGCTGAGTTTTTTTTTAAAAAAATGAGGCAACGAAAAGTAAGTTAATGTGTTGTTCTCTGGGTGGAAAACGAAAGAACGAACCAGCCTTTAATTTTTTTTTTATTTTTATTTCCTTTCCATTAGAGAATGAAAAAAAAAAAATTTTTTTTTCTAATTTTCTGTGTGTGACGTCATCGTTAAATGATTTCATATTTGGATTTTTAAATTTAGGGTAAAATTTTTTTTTTTTTTTTTTTTTTTTTTTTTTTGTACGTTTGAAAAGTCGTTGGAATTGAATAAAATAAAATTTCATGGGGGGGGGGGGAAGGGAAAGAAAAAATTGGAATTTGTTTTCGAATTCTTCTTCTTCTTCTTCTTCTTATTTTTATTTAAAAAAAAAAAAGCTTTTTCGAGATTTCTGTCCAAAAATAAAATTTGGCATTTTTTTTTATTTTTTACAAAGAAAAGAAAAATAATTTTTAATTTTACGTTCATTTTTTTCTTTAAGCTTCCTCCGTGTTTTTTTTTTTTTTGTTGCGGTATTAGTTTCGTTTTCTATTTGCAAAAAAAAAAAAAAAAAAAAAAAAGGAAAAAAAAATTTTCGAAAGTAAAAACCGATCGTGTAAAAAAAAAAAAAAAAAAATTAATGGAAAACCATCGATCATTACTTATTGATGATGCTAATAACAAAAAAAAAAAAAAAAAAAAAAAAAATGAAAGTGTTAATAAAAAAAATTTTTTTTTCTTTCCCCCCCCCTCCCCCCAATAAAAGCAAAATGTTTAATTTCGTGGTCGACCGTTACTTATGGAACATAGAAAAATTTATTATTATTATTATTATTATTATTATTATTATGGGAATGTAATGGGTACCACATGAGCGAAAGTTTTTCTCTCTCTCTCTCAATCATACTCACTCAGGTTTTTTGTTTTTTCTTATTACCGAGGTAGTTTTGGTGAAAGTTACATTTATCATTATCATTATTATTATTATTATTATTATTATTATTATTATTGCTTAGTTTTCATAAATCATTTTGTGTGTGTTTGAGTTGCAATTTAAAAAAAAAAAAAAAAAAATTGACGTAATAAATATCATTGGGTAAAGAAAACAAAAAGAAACCAGTTGTTGACATTTGGTGAAAATTTCTCAGAACGTGATGATTCGTGACGCAGGCTTTTTTTTTTTTCTTACTGGTTGTTGCTGGTGTTGGCATATTAATTTACCGTTTTTTTTTTTTTTGGTTTACCCTTAGAATTTCTTTTCGTAAGCAAAAAGAAAGGAGGAAGGGAAGAAAAGATGATGACGAAATCATCGTACGTTGCTTTTTTCTTATTAAAACTTTTACCTCTAAACTAAGACGTCGCGGCGTCTTAAAAAAGACGCCTTGGGAGGGGTAGGGGGGGGAAAACTTCCCGATATAACTTGAAAAAATAATTAATTTGACAGCTAACATCGACGACATTTTTAAAATTTTTGTTAAAAGTTTTTTTTTTTTTTGAAGGGGTCCAGACTTTTTTTTTTTTATGTGCTTTCTATCGTGGATCGTTAACTGTTGGCTCTTGGCAGCGGTGGTGCCGCCTTCTTCTCGTGACCTTTCTTCCGGATGTCTTTTTATATATATTATTTTATACGTTTCGAATTGAAAATGATAAGAAAAACCATAACAATGATGACAATGACGACGACGACGACATTTTGTCGAGTTTTGCGGTCAAAGGCCTTCGTCATCTAATCAACAAAAGTTCAAATAAAAAAAAAAAAAAAATTTACTCACTGGATATATATTGTTTTTGTGATAACGATGTGGTAACCTTGGCACTCGTTGAAATTTTCTATTTTATTTATTTATTTATTTATTTATTTATAATACGTTCGATTTTTTCTCTTAGTTATACGCGAGTATATAAATTGTAAAAAAAAAAAAAAAAAAAAAAAACTTTTGTATCGGCGGGAAAATTTTCGTTACTACTCCTCTGTCATCGTTTTCCTTTTTTTATTAACGGTATAACCGGAAATGATCGTTTAATGAAATGATCGTATGCTTCTATTTTGGGGGCGGGAGAGGGGAAATGATAACAGTTTTAAAAAAGAATGATTATTTTAATTAAATTTTTTTTTTTTTAATATTTATTTTTACATTCATTATCGTGACCTTATAAAGTCACCACCATATCTTTGTTTACCATAAATACACACATTGAATATTGACGATGACGTAACGAGTGTGAGGAATCCATTGATTATTTTTTATTTTTGTAACTTCATTTTCGATTAATTTTTTTTTTAGTAAAATATCCTATTTCAGGTATAGGTACGTCGGATCCTTTGAATAAATACGTCGTCTTCCCTTAAGAAAATATTCTCGAATGAAAATTTCACGTTAATTCCAACGATAATATTAATCCAACCGTGTCAATGAACCAGATTGCAACTCTGGAGTATTATTATTATTATTTGTAGTTTTTTTTAAAAAAAAAAATTACAATTATTAATTTTTTGAAGGGGTGTAACGTGTGACTCGAGTAAAAAAAAAAAAAAAACAAGCGACAAATAAAGAAAATAATAATAATAATAATGATGATGATGATGATGATGATGATGATGATGATGAAATTCAATTCGTATATTTTATAAATAAAAAAAAATTGTGCTGTCAGTGATTTTAGTTGTAATCATTTGTCGGTCGGGTGATAAAAAAAAAAAAAAAAAAACATGAAATTTAAATTTCCATGTTTAACCGTGAAATTGCGTTAAAAAGTCTAAAAAATTGAATTATTATTATTATTATGATTATTTGTTTATTTACTTAATGTAATATATTACAACGATTTTTTTTTTTCGTGACGGTTGGCTACGCTCAATTTCAAATCAATCGATCGATCGATCGATGATTTCATTGATTGATTTCCACAAAAAATAATGTATTATTATTATTATTATCATAATATATTTTAATGCGTAAATTTATCATTTTTTCAAAGTTAAAATTTATTTTTAAAAAATTTAATAAAAACGAGTGAATTGTAAATTTTAGTGAAATGAATCGATGGAAGTTTTATTACGATGAATGTGAGAAGGGGGGAAAAAAAAAAAGAAAAAAAAAATTATCACGTAGTATTTTAACAAAAAAAAAAAAAAAAAAAAAAATGGCGATTCTTAACGTGTGTCGACATAAACACATTAGCAGAATTGTTAAAATTATAATATGTGTAACAAAAAAAAAAAAAAAAAAACTTTTTGTTTTACATAAATTTTTGAAGGACGCGGAAAAATTTTTTTTCCTTATTGATGGAAATGTTTGGAAAAAAAAGTACTAAAATGTTTAAAAAGCTTTCCCCCTCCCTTATTTTTACGCAAAACTAAATTAAATAAGGGAGGGGGGTACTTTTGTATATATATATTTTAAAAAGAGGAACTGAACGCGTTGGCACGTACGTGTAAACTGCGTAAATTAATAATATATTATTACGTTCGAAGCGTTCGATAAATTTTTTCGTACGTTTCTTTTTATTATTTTTTTATATATAAATTAAATGGAAATAATAATAATAATAATAATAATAATAATAATAAACGATATAATGGGGCAACGTGCCAACGTGTGTCATCGTTTGGTGCAATCGAAATTTTAAATCCAACAGTTGCAACATTATGAGCTCCCTTATTTAGAGGTCAGTTTAAAACTTCTGATGCAGTTATTCTGTTTTTTTTTTTATTTTTATTATTATTATAAAAAAAATTATATAAAATTATGTATCGCGCGTGGGTGTTGTGTAAAAAAAAAAAAAAAAAAATGTAAAAAAAATTTCTTTATAAATTAATAATGTTTGTTGTACCTGATTTTGTTGTAGTTTTAAATAAAATTCGTGGAAGGATTTGTAGTAATTATTTATATTTAAATGCCTAAAGGTACATTTCGTCTTTTATAAAAGTTTAAATGCGTTTTGTACATTTTTTTTTTTTTTTCTGTTTGGTTGGTAGGAGTGTGTGGGCGAGAGAGGTGGTGGTGCTTGTATATATGAATGAAAGGTTGTTTGATTATTAAAAGTTTTAGGACCGTGTTTTTTTTTTTTTTTTTTTTTTGTTAAAGATATCGATTCGTTTTATCTTGGATGATGATAAAAAAAAAAAAAAAAAAAAAAAAAATTGTCGCTTGTTTTTCTGTGTATGTAAGTTTTCTTTAAAACGATAATCAGAGATTGGAATAACATGTAGGAAAAAATATTATCTCGTCGACATAACTTTGAAAGTTGTGAAGGCGTTGTAACGGTGCTTTTAATTTTTAAACCGACGAAATTGATTTCGAAAGGGATTCCCCTAATTTATCACGTACCAGAAAAAAAAAAAAAAAAAAAAATTTTTTTTAACCCAAAAATTTGACTTGCAAATTCATTTTCTTTTTTTTAGAAATAACCGTGTGGTGCTGTTGAGAAGGGGTTCAGTGAAGGCATCATCATGGCGGACACAGAAAAATCCGAGCAACCTCAGACAAACGGTTTAGAGAATGGTTTAGACGATGATGAGAGAATGAAATTACGTCCCGCCGACATTGATGCCGACGTAAAAGAAATGGAAAGACGAAAAAGAGTTGAAATGATAATGGGCTCTAAATTGTTCAGAGAAGAACTCGAAAGAATAATCGAGTTGCAATTGAAAGATGGAAACGGTCCGGCGGGTCTCTTGCAACAAATATCAGACATGATGGGAATTCAGTCTGGAAAATTGCACACGACACATATGTTTAGAGGTGGGTTAAAATAAAAGTTGAGTAATGACGTATTGAAAAGTGAAGTAAATAATAATAATAATAATAAGACTCCTAATAGATAAATAATTAAAAGTCACCGAAGCGATTTAATGGCCGATTAAATTGTGGACTATTAATTTTATTTTGTTTACGACTAGGAAACTCGATTAAAATCGAATCTCAAAAAAAAAAAAATTATTTATTATTATTATTATTATTATTATTATTATTATTATTATTATTATTATTCAGGTTCAAATTGTGTAACACCCATCAATGATATTAGAGGAGTTGAAAGCATGGGTTATGAAAAAGGTGAAAAAAATCTCCGATGTAAACTTGCATCGGTTTTCAGATTAATGGACCTGTACGGTTGGTCTCAAGGAATTAACAATCAAATCACTGTAAGTAAATCTCTCTGATCTTTCAATTTCCTTTTAGTTTTAAAAAAAAAAATGTTTACTTTCATTTGAAGTTTGATTGATATTGTGCATGTCTAGTTCCACGACTTAACCCTTTTTATTCGGATTACATTATTTTAGGCTCGGTTAAATCAAGATGAGGAACACTTTTTGGTGAATCCTCACGGAATGTTGTTTAACGAAATCACGGCATCGAGTTTAGTTAAAGTAGACATGCAGGGAAACATTGTCGAGCCCGGAACTACAAATTTTAATGTAAATACGCAAGGATTTCTTCTTCATTCAGCCATTCATGCTTCTAGACCCGACGTCAAATGTGTTATACACATAAAAACTCCTTCTGTTTTGGCGGTAAGTCGTCGGTTCGATTTAAAATAAAATTTTATTTCCGGAATAAGTTTTTTTTTTTTGCAGAGCGTTAAATCATTATGTTTCTATGATTCAGGTATCTTCATTAAAATGCGGACTTCTTCCTCTTTGCCAAGAAGCTCTCGTCATCGGTGAAGTGAGCCAGCATCCCTTTCTAAGCGGGATATTTGAACCAGAAGAGAGAGAAAAAATAATACGAAACCTGGGTCCCTCGAACAAAGTAAGAAAAATGAAATTATTCTGTGCGGGGAGGGGGAGGAGTAGGCACCCGAGGAAAGAAGGTAAATAATTTATTTTTAAAAAAATTTAATTTTTAGGTACTTTTACTTCATAATCACGGAGCCGTTTGTTGCGGAGGAACGGTCGAAGAAGCTTTTTACAATGTTTACAACACGGTATTAGCTTGCGAAACTCAAATAAAGCTCATGCCGATCGGCATTGAAAATCTCGTTCTTGTAAATGACGAAACACGAAAACAAGTTTACGACGCTGCACACCGAAATCCGGATACGGGAACTTCTGGCGACAAAAAACCCAAACAGTTTAGAATCGGTGAAATCGAATTCGAAGCATTGATTCGAATGCTTGATAATGCGGTAGGTTTCATTCAATTATACAAAAACTCAAAATTTGAAACTCACAAACGTCTAATGTCTAATCTTTGTAACGTCACACGTTTATTCAGGGCTTTCGAACAGGATACATATATCGGCATCCGCTTGTCAAAGGGGAATTGCCCAAACCTAAAAACGACGTCGAAGTACCACCGGCCGTGTCATCATTGGGTTATTTAATCGAACAAGAAGAACTTTATAAACAAGGGTAAGAAATACCTAATTGAGATTTCGAAAAAGTCAAAAATAATATTTATGACGTTTGAAAATATTTCCAAATCGTTGATGTCGTTTTTTCTTTCTTTTCTTTTCTTCTTACTATCACTCCCAGCAACTGGAAGAAATATGTCGATGGTCGTAACAGATTAGATCGTACGAAATGGTTGAATTCGCCAAACGTTTATCAAAAGGTAGAAATATTGGAAACGGGAACTTCAGACCCAAAGAAAATCACTAAGGTAGAATACATTAAGTTTGAGGATAAACCTTAAACTGTTTTTTTTTTTATATATATATATAATATTCGTTTGTTGCTATATATCATATTTTGTTTTGGGTTCTTCCTACTACGACAAAAAAAAAGAAAATAATAATAATAATAACGATAGGCACGGTTGTTTACATATAGAATTCCTTTTTATTATCGATAAATTTTAATATTCATATCATTCCATAAAATTTGAGCTTTAATTACACCCCCCCCCCCAAACACACACACACACACATATATATATTTAATTTGAATATTTCGATTTATATATATCGTATCGTTAACGTTTAAAAAAAAAATTCTTTTTAATATATATATACTATAAGTTTACGTGTTAGTTAGATATTATACTTATTAGGGTTTCATAATATTGCTTCGTCTTATATTATAATGTAATCGTTTAATTTTTTTGAATCACTTGCTGTGGTTGCTTGCGTTTAGATAGATTAAAAAAAATATATATAAATAAATATGAGTTCGTTTGTATTAGGTTCTATAAAGGAGAAGGAGGTTTGAGGATGTTGATATTAACGATCGATTAATTAATTAATCATTTAGTACTATCAATCGATTATTATTATTAGCTACTACTATTATTATTATTATTTTTTTTTTTTCATTGGCTTCAACACATATATATATATAAAATAATATATAATAAACGTATATATATATATATTAAAATATATTATAATTATTTAGTAATAATTCTTAAAATTTAATTTATTTGTTTTTATTTTTTTTGTCATATTAATCCTATCCTGATGATTTATATATATAATTGAGAATTTCGTTATTTTAATTATTTTTATTTTTATTTGTTATTAATTAATTAATTAATTAATTAATTAATCAATCAGGTTTTTTTTGTGTGGATTATTAATAATAATAATAATAATAATTAATGATGATGATTTTTTTTTTTTATTTATTTATTTATCGTTAAATTTTTTTGTTTTGTTTTTTTTTTTTTTTTTTTTCTTTTTCATTTTATATATTTTTTTTTTTTTTTTAGGGGGGGGATCAAAATTCTGAAGAGGTAAATTAACAGGAGGCTGGATCATAACTTTTTTCTGCCAAAGTGTCAAAAAAAAAAAAAAAAAAAAATTTTTTTAATTTTTTTAATATTTATTTTATTTCGAAGGGTTTTTTTTTTTCGTTTTTCAATGGTGGCGGTGGTGGTATTAGAATGATGGCTATAAAATAATAATAATAATAATAATAAAAGAATAAATTCGATCGTCATACGAAAGAAAAAAAAATTTTTTTTTTTTTTTTTTGTTTCTTTTTGACGATTGAATAAAAAAAAAAAAAAAAAAAAAATTATACGATTATTTTACTATTATTATTATTATTATTATTATTATTATTACCTTCTTTTATTAGTTAAGAGTAGGGGATAGTAGTTGTAGCTTTCCTTACTTATTCGATGGGAAATCGGGGGGTTTTTTTTTTTTTTTTTTTTTTTCCCCCTTGCAAAGTGTTTAAATAAAATTTTTCGATCGAAGGAACGAAAAAATGATTGAAAATTATGAGGAAAATTTTTTTTTTTTCTTCTTCTTCTTCACACTCTGCTTAAAAATTGCTTAGTATCTCTTTTATTATATCTATGCTTTTAAAATTATTAAAAAAAAAAAAAAAAAAAAAAAACTGCATCTATTAAATAATAACATTGCTTAACGAAACGTGTAAAAAAAAAATCAATTATTTATATGTATTTAATTACACGTGTGCTTATTTATGGGAAATTTGCGCATACGTAGAAATTCGTTTTCTCGAACATTATTTTTATTATTATTATTATTATTATTGTATATTTAATTGAAATCGAATTTCTATTACGCATATTCATGCCTGTTTTTAAATTATTTTAAATGGCGAAACATAAAAATCAGTGGAGTTTTATTTGATTTATTCAATTTAAAATTCAATACGAAATTCATATTAATATTATTATTATTATTATTATTATTTTTAAATTAAAAACAGGCACGAGTTTCGCTTTAACTTCATTTATTATTATTATTATTATTATAAAAGAGGCCTCTGATTTTCTTTTTTTTTTTTTTTTTTTTCCATTTTTTTAATAGTGGGTAGCAGAGAGTTCACCAACGCATAGCAGCACACCAGTTAAAATTGACTCGGCATTACAATTTGTACCGAAAGGAACGAATCCGAAGGAATTTAAAAAACTTCAACAACAGGTACTAAATAATTTACAAAAATTAATGACGTCATTAAATTTGTGTTGCATCGATGAGAAAAAAAAAATTACAATTTTAATTTTTTTTTTTTTTTTTTTTTTATCAGATAAAAGAAAATAGACGAGCTGACAAGATAACTTCCGGGCCACAATCACACATACTAGAGGGTGTTTCGTGGGAAGAAGCGAAAAAACTTCAAGATGCGAACATAACGCAGACGGGAGATCAGGTTATACTCGTTGGAGCTGCTTCGAAGGGTATCATACAGAGAAATTATCAACACAATGCCCTCGTCTATAAGACTCCATATGCTAAAAATCCGTTCGATTCAATGTCCGATAAAGAAATCGAAGATTATAAACAACTTGTCGAGAGAAAACAAAGAGGTGACACGGGTAAGAGAAAATGTTTGTTGCTTTGTACGTTTAAATGTAAAAATAATAATAATAATAATTGTGGCATTTTGTGTCTTTCTTAAGATTACGAAGAAAGTCAATCGGAGTCGGAAGCGATATCATCCAGTAGGCAGGATCCACTACGTCCTGTTAAATCTCCATTATTATCTCCTCATTCTGCGACGAGCGAAACCGAGGAGGATACTAGAGACGGTTCGTGTGAAAATTTTTTTTAATTTACGATAAATTAATTGCATTTGGGGAAGGGAAGTTGGAAATTTAAACGTGATTTTGCATTTCATTTCCAGAGCCTAGGGTGCTAAGAATAGAAACTAAGACTGCGCCACGGCCCATACAAGCTGAGGTTGTTCTAAGTGACGGTATGTTTTATGTATTTCCGGTATAAAAATTTTTTTTTTTTAAATTTTAAACATACGAGTTACGGGATTTAACATTTTCATAAAGGTAAGATGTCTTGTCGCGCAAGCATCACAACGGATTTTTTAATTTTTTTTTGTTGCAAATGCTTAAAAGCTTTGCATGAAAGCGAATAGCGTAAAGAAATTAAAAACAAAACAAACAAACAAACAAACGTTTCGGCTGTATTAATTTTTCATTGATATTTTTGTGTTGTCCATTGTCAGTTTTCTAATTATTTTGATTTTAAAATTATTATTATTATTATTTGGATTGTTTTATTAAAAAACTGTGTACGTCGTCGTTCATTAACTTTAACGCTGGATAATTTTTTTAATGCTTTAATACTTACGATTACATAAAATTTATTTTATTTTATTTTTTTTTTTTTTGTTTGTCGATGATGTTGCATGTAATATTTTTTTTGTTTCCATTAGCTGAATCTGATTCGACTGATGCAAGAGTTGAGAGATCTCATTCCGCTAGATATCCTAAAGCAGGTGAGCAAAATGGATCTGCTTTCCTTTTCAATTTCTCTCTCTCTCTCTCTCTCTCTTTGAATCTCTCCTTATTTTTCACTTTTTTTTTTTTTTTTTTTGACTCAAACAAAATATTAAAAAGGTTATGCGGGATTAATAAAAAAATAACAAATTGGCGAATTAAGTAAGGCAAGGTAGAATTTTTAACGTTTGAAAAAAAATAACCTTTTTTAATATTTTGGTGATAGGTCAAAGGTTAATTTTTAAATTTTTTAATTTAAAATTTACAAAACGAGACAACTTAATTTTATTATATTATTAGTAGCTTTAGTTTTTTGTTTGTTTACGGGCATGGAAAAACGTACATATATGTATATGTATTAGCTATTTTGTTTTGTCGTTGGCAGAAAAACCAGAAAGCGTCAATCTCATGAATTCATTTAGAAAATCGTGGTCGCTTAAAAGGGAAAAGGACAAGAGTAAAGGTTAGTAAAGGTTTAAAAGAAATTTTATTTTAATTTTAATTTTTTTGTCTTTTCTTGTCAAATTATCCTTTTTGAATTGACAACTTTTTTTTGCATTTCTTTTTTGTTAATTTACTTTAGTTTTCATCTTGAGAATGTATTTTCTTTTTCTTTTTTTTTTTTCTTATTTTCTTATGAAACTTTGATGTTAATTTTATTAACATAATTAATGTATAAAAGAATGATAAGAAATTGACAATTGTTAATTTTAAATGTGACTAATATTTAAAAAAAAAAACTAACAATTAGCTTTAATTCTTTTACAAAGAAAAGAAAAAAACGGTTAAAAAAATTAACATCGTTTCATAATCGATTAACAAATTGGTTTAAATATCAAGTATTATTCCAGATCATAATTATCCTGATGGTATGACCGAACCTAGAAACCTTCACACAAGTTACACGTTCAAAGAACCCGAATATAACCGCTCTGGATCCTTGCAATATTGCATAGCACGTATAAAACAATTAACATGCAAGCCTGTGATTGTAGATATAAGGGAAAAATCGCTTCGACCCATGCTTAAATTTGCTTCCGATCCGTGTAATCTCGATCGAATATCAGGCGATGAAAATTTTTACGATACAATTAACGACGCGAGTTTAAATCAAAGTAAAATCCATAACGGTTCCTCCCTGTCCTGTAATAATATAGCATCGGATTTAAAAGAAAGGTTAAACAAAAGAAAAAAATTGATACACTCGGCTAAAATGAAATTTTTAGGAATGGAACACGAAATGGAACACGACTCTCTTTGCGTGGAAAAAAATTCTTTTATCAATGAAAAATCTTCGTCCTCCCCAATATGCGCGTTGATTTCGGAAATTCGGGAAACCATAAACGAAATAGTTAGTCCGGAGAGATCTAAATTCACCCAAGTTCCGGTTTACAACGGTTTAGATTCGTTAAGATGGATAGAAAGGCCTAAATTCGAACCGAAAGGAAGAAAAAAGTTGGCGGAATCGGAGGGAAAGGATTCTAAAATTGAAAAAGTTTCATCTTGCGTGTCTTTGTATAAAGTTTCAAAACAAAACGATTCGTTATTTGTCGAATCGTTGAGCGATTTCAAAAAAGATTTTCAAATGTTGGAAAATTTTTCCGATGTCGAAGGTCCGCCTGAAGAAGGAGTAAATATTTATAATGGGGATAAATCCGAAGTGGAAGCAGAAAAATTGACAAAATTCGAGTGTGCGGATGACGCTCCGAAGGATAAAGAAAATATAATAAAAAGCATTTTGAATGAAATATTAAAAAAAGTAAGCGTTTCGGAGGATGATGAAGCGACGTATACGGTGACGGATGATAGCCTTTTACCCACGTATTCTTATATCGAAACAACGGAAACCGAATGGTATTATAGTAAAACTATCATGGAGTTGGAAAACTCTCAAACCGTACTGGAGATAAAAGAAACCGAACAACAAATGGATGGACAAATAATGCGACACACTGACACCGGAATAGATACTGATTTTACGTCGGAAAAAGAAAATGTCGAAAAATCTGACGAGTCGGGTGATAATAAAGCGACCGAAGAAAAAAATTCGAACGTTGCAGAAGAACCTGAAACCGAAGCGGTTTTGGGTGAATGTTCGATTTTAAATAAGAGTTCAGAAACGGATTCGTCATTTTTGAAAAGTAGCAGCGGGCAAACGAGTAACGATGTCGATACTAGTTTCGCATTCAAAACGGAAACCGATTACAGTGAAAAAATAAATGGGAAAACGAAATCTCCGAAAAAAAATTCACCGGAAGAGGAAAATGTCAAAGAATCCAATTCCTTAATGCAATTGAATGAATCGATTCGAACTACGAACGAAGATGCAAAAACTGAAGATTTAGATGGAATTGATAAATTTAAAAAATTAGAAATTAATCAATGTAGACTTCCGGACATACCGGAAAGTCCAGAGTTTACAAACATCGACACGGAGGATGCTCCAGTTACGTCGAGTTCGAAAAACACGAGCCCGGAGGTGATCAATGAAAATCATTTCATCGAAGAAAAAATTATCGGAAAACACGATGAAAACGAAGGTGATTTCGCGGAAAAAACGGATATCAAATCAAAGGAAAAACCGGGGAAAAAGAAACGTAAAAAAAATAAAAAAAGTTCAACGAAAATAACGGTCAAAAAGGAATTTAAAGAAAACGATGCGGAAAAACCGGTTGTGAGTGAAATAAAATTAACGATAAAAAATTCGAAAGACTATCAATCGGAAAAATACGAAGTTAAAATTCAAGATGTGACGAATACGAGCGAAGAACTTTCCAGTTCGATGGGAGAACACGAAAGTTTTGACGTTTCGGACAATGGAAATGCTGGAAATTGCGATTGCGAAGCACAGCAAAATCTTGAAGAATTACAGGGAGAAGTATCGACGACGATTGAAAAATTACAAACGATAGAAGATTATTTCGAAAACGAATTAATGAAACATTCGAACGGAGGAGAAAAACCTTCTCCAGACGACGAATTCACAATCGTTTACAATTACGGCGAATTCGAAGATGTCGCAAACGAATCGAAAGGCGTTTTGAAAAAATTAAACAGCGAAAAGTCGGAAATGGAAATTTTCTCACCGGAAAGTTACTGGGAAATCATAAACGGTGCCTTCCGTTATTTACCTTTATCTGGAATTAGTATTTCAGACTACGGTGATTGCAACGTCGAATTTTCACATTCGGATGTATCAACCACCTACGCGAATGATCTTTTCGAAAACGTTTCCATTTTCGAAGAACATTTATTATCCGCGTCCTCACCGATCCGTGATGCGGAATATGAAAATTCAGAAGAAAATGTTTTTTCCCACGGAAAATATTGCAATGATCTCCAAGTTGAACACCACCACCGCGTGTTGGAAAATGTTTTTTACCTTCCGAATGAAATAACTAATATTCCGTCGAATTGGAGTTTCGAATGTTTCATCCAAAATGGTATTTTTCGAAATGATAAAAATGTAATGGAATTGGAAAATAAAATGGGGATCAAAAATGAAAACGTACTTACCATTATGAATTTTACAAAACCGGAAATTTTAAATAAAATGGTTTGCGTTCCATCAATGAGCGTGGTCGATGACGTGGGTATCAAAATTTCATTTCCGGTAAATTTTCCGATTGTTTTACACGGCGACGAATTACAAAATTTAAATTCGATGACGACGCGGGAAAATACTTTCGAAGAGTACATCAATAAGATTTTTCATAGGCTGATATTTCCCTTAAAAGCCATCACGTGGTACGACACGTCGGTCGAAGTTTTGGAAGGAGTCGATGGTCGGAAAAATACCGGAGGGGAAAATTGTCAGAGATCCGAATCCTTGGTGGATTTAATCGAAGGTGTCATTCGGGATATTATAAATAAAGTTCCGTTAAAAAAATTAGAGGATTATCGAATTACGGATGCATCATCGAACGTTGAAGATCCCTCGATGGATACGATATCGGAATTTGACAATATCATATCGTGTACGAATTCGATCATTATGGAAATAATAGATTCTATGGAGAGTCAAGCGGAGGAAAGCGGATGTGAAAGTTTCGCGGACGAGGAGTGCGACGGTTTCGAAAAGGAAACGAAAGGAAATTCATCGACGAAAATGTCGACGTCGAAAATTTCGAATCCCGTTTTTAAAGTCGTCATAGCGACACCTTCGAAAAAAGAAATATTTATAAATTACTCGAACGATTCGTCTTCGACTTTCGATTTATCGTCCGATTTCGATTTTTCCGGGTCTTACATAAAAACGGATGACGTCAACGAAGATTTTGAAAATTTCAGTTCGGATAATTCTGGATTTTTTTCCGCGGATTCATCCGCCGACGTGAATTCTCTCAACAGTTCCTACGGTTCCCTCGTCGATCCCGGTCAAATCCCCCCGGGTAAAGATCAATTTTTCTACGTCGGGGGTCACGATACGGGGGATGCGAAAAAATCTCCCAAATCCCTGTCGGTCATACAGGAATTGGACGAAGGAGGAGAGGAGGAGAGCACGTCTTCGGATGTCGTTTCCTCTATGGCCACGACATGAATGACGAAATTAATTTTTTTTTAACTTTTATAAAACAGTGTTACCAACTTAACGAGTTATATGCGAGTTGAGTTTTAAAAAACCGGTTTTCTTTTTTCTCTAATTTTTTTTTTTAAATAATAATGATAATTCAGTGTTTATTTTTCTGTAGTTTTTTCAAATGATTTTTAATTTTTATGGGGAAAAAAAATATTTTAATGATATTATTTGTTTTTATTAGGTTTTTGTTTTTTTTTTTAATGCAGTCATTATTTTTTGATTTTTGCAGTGTTTTAAAAAAGAATTTCCACCCCCTGCGTCCCCCCCGTCCCCTCGCTCCGTGCAGGTTTTTTTTTTTATTTTAAATTTTTATTATTATTAATATTATTATCGTAAATATTGATTTGATTGATTATTCAGTATCGTAAAATATTTTATTCGCCTGATTAACGATTTTTTTTTTTTTTTTTGTGTGTGTGTTTATTCTTTTCACAATTTCAGTGTAAAATTTTCCAACAGACAAACGTTTTATGATATTTGATTTAATAAAAAGTTAATAATTATTATTATTATTATTTACATAATAACCGAAATAAAAATGTCACGTGGTAATATCCGTTAGATAGAAGAAGAAGAAGAAGAAGATGGATTTTTAATTGTAGAAAATTTTTATTAACTTTTAAGTTTTTTTTTTTTTTTTATTGATTTTTGTTATTTTTTTAATTGATTTTATGTAAAAAAAAAAAAAAAAAAAATGATTAACGAAAGTTATTATTATTATTATTAATATTATTTTTTTCTTTTTTTTTTTTTTTTTTCTGTTCACCGTACAAAATGATGTGTATTTGTAGTAAAATAAAATAATACCTTTAAGTCTTGTTTTTAAAAAATTAATTTTTTTTTGTTTTTATATAAAAGCACGTTTTTTTTTGTCGTCGTCTTGAGTTGTCGTGTTTGTGTTTGTTTATATGTAAATGTTATGAAACAAATGAAAAATTGCATGCGGATATTGATAATGATAACAGAAGACAACCTTTTACCTACCTTAATGGCTTTGGTGGTGAGTGCCATGGATTAACACAATCGGTGATTTATTTATTTTTTTCAATTTTTCTATTGGTTATTAACAGTTGGTGTTTTATTTATTTATTTATATTGAATAACAAAATTTCAGGTACTTTGTTTATTATTTTTTCCACCTGTGTGTGTGTGTGTGTGCGTGTGCGTTTTTACCACAAATTTTTCTTTTTTTTTTCCTAATTGTTTTTTATTGTGATTTATTTACTGGTCAGGCGAGAACACGGTTAACGGAGATCATTCGGATGCACATCAAAGCACTTTTTCGCACAGCAGTAAAGAAGGTTCACCAACGAAAGATCGTTCGACGGAAGAATCACCGAAAAAGGATAAGAAAAAGAAAAAGGGATTAAGGACTCCGTCGTTTTTGAAAAAGAAAAAGGAAAAAAAGAAGATTGCGGTCGAAGCTTAAAAAAAAGAAAATGAAATTTTTTTTTTTTTTATTCGGTGAGTTTCCTCCCTCCCCCCCCATTGCCACGTGTTGTCACGCTCACCAACACACGTGTGATTTTTTTTATTGTTTTTACAGCAGACGAAATTTTAATTTTTTTTTTTTTTAAATAATTTTTCAGACACTGCCAATGAATACAACAACAATTGAAAATAATTTAACCCGAAAGAAATAAAGAAAAAATGTTGAAGAAATCATCATCATCATCATCATCAACATCATCATCACTTCCTTACGTATCACATAAATCAGAAGAAAAAAAAAATTTATAATAATAATAATAATAATAATAAAACAATATGAAAATAAAATTAGTCGCAGAAAAAAAAATAAAGATAAAAATTTTAAAAATTTTTTTCATCGATTGGTCTAAATAAGAAAGAAAGAAAATATTTTTTTTTGCCGCCGCCGCCCTTTTGTAAATTAAACGCAGAAGGGACGTCATATAAAGAAAGAAAAACAATTTTTAACTCTTTCACTTCATACCGATGAAAGTTTTTTTTTTTTTTTTTTTAAATTTACAACACTTAATGGCTTTAATATTAATAATAATAGTAATAATAATAATAATAATAATAATAATATTGTTTTACATTGTTTAAAATAGAGAATCGTTCGGTTGATTTATTACAAGGAAAGAAAGAGAGAGAGAGAGATAGGGGGGGGAGGGGAAACTTATTATTATTTTGTTTGCTTTGCTTTTTTTTTTTTTTTTTTTTTTTAAAAATAATTTATTTAAATATAAATATGTTTTATTATCACACATTTGATAAAATATTTATATATATATGTAATAAATAAGAAAATAAATGAATAAAATCCAAACACGTGAGCTTCCTTTTTTTTTTTTTATAAATATATATATATATATATATATATATATATAAACATTAGAATTTATTTCTGATATTAATAATGATAATTAGTTTTCCTTTTTTTTTTTTTTAATAAGAAAAATGAGTGTTTTGTTTTATGTGCTGTTGCTGCTGCTGCTGCTGCACTTTATTTTTATCATCATCATCATTTCAATTATTATTATTATTATTATTATTATTATTATTGATTATTTTTGTTAAACATTCTAACAATAATTATTTATATATATATATATATTTTTTTTTTCAAATATTCTTACATAAAATTTATTTATTATCTTCTATTTATTTATTTGTTTTTTTTTTTTTGTTTTTCATGCAAAAAAATTTACTTGCCCCAATATACACCATTTAAAATGGTTAAGTGATGGTATTAATGATAATAATAATAATAATAATAATAATAATAATAATAATAATTTGTTTTTTTATTCCATAAATTTTTTTTGTGTCATTCGGTGATTTTACATTTACTACGAATTTTTTTTTTTTTTTTTGTTAAGATTAGTTATGAAAGTAATGAAAAAGTGGAGTGCAATGAAACAATTATATATATATATATATTCATTCAAATTGTATTTAGAAAAGGAAAAAAAAACAAATTATTATTATTATTATTATTATTATTATTATTATTATTTATGTAATGCAATAGATGTAATTAGCTTAAGTGATAAAAAAATCAAATGATTCGATGATTTGGATTTTTTTTTTTTTTTTACTAATAATGCAAAATAGTTCGTCGTTTGGCTTTTTTTTTTTTTTTAACTATTTAATAATAATTATTTTTTTATTATTTACTAATTAATTATTTAAATTTTTTAAATTTTGAATAATAAAAAAATTAATTATAAATGTTTTGTGTGTGCGTCGGAGAGAAAATTTTCATTTTTTGTTTAACATTTAAGAACTTGACGATTATTAAATAACGATTAACAATTGTTGTTCGTTTTAAAAAAAAAAATGTCGTAATTTTTGCTTGCATCGTTTTAAATTTCATGTTTAAAATATGTAAAGCAATATGTAAAAAAAAAAAATTAAATTAAATTAATATTTAAGCCGAAACGAGGAACCATCTTTGTTTTTTTTTTCTTATCGTTATTGTTTTGACAGCAAAACAGTGTTGCCATTTTTTTGTGAAAATTTTTCAAAGTGGCGACAAAAACCGCGGTGTAACCGTTAAACTGTCTGCTCATTTTAAAATTGATTCTGTAGTGAAAAGGTTGTTTTTTTTTTTTTGAAGAGTGAAGTTTTATTTTAAAAATTGAAATTAATATTCGTTTTAACTTGGTTTTTTTATTTTCTTCTTAAGTTAATTGGAAAGAAATGAAACAAGTAAGGAATAAATTTATTATTATTATATATATATATATATTTAAATATAAAAAATTTGTTGTAACGTAACATAACATCTGAAATGAAAATCGTATTTAAGTTTTTTTTTTTTATTTTATTTTATTTCATCATGAAAGTTATTATTTACTGTTATGTAATAATTTATTTGACAATTATTTTGTGTGTTGCATCATATTTTTCTCACCGTGTTGTTGTGATTTTGTAAAAAATTTCAATCGATTATTAATTTTCACGTTTTATTTAAATATTATTTTATTAATATATTTGTTTAATGATATTTATTTTATATGAAAAAAAAAAACATAAATTCATAATTTTTTTTTTTTTACAAAATTGTTTATTTATTATAAATTAATAAGAAAAAAAAAAAAGGGAAGCCAATCATATAATGTATTATTATTATTATTATTATTATTATTATTATTATTATTTAAAAATCTATTAAATCTATATAAAATGATAAAAATAAATTCATATATATATAAGTAAAATAAATAAAAGGACCAAATAAAGAACGTGTTTATTAAAAAATAAATAAATAAAATCCATAAAGTTTATCACTGTTAAATTAAATTAATAAAATGAAATTTTAAAAAAAAAAATTGAATAATTAATATGTATTTAAATTTTTATGAAAAAAAAGAAAATTTTGTTATGAAAAGTAAATAAAAATAATATTTTTGCCCTTGGAATGAAAACTTGCATTTGTGTAACCCAAAATAAAAGAAAAGTTTTTTTTTTTTTTTTTTTTGCTTATTTGTTTTGTAAATTCAAAAAAAATGATGTAACGAATATTTTTTTTTTTTTTTTTATTTTGAGTTTTGAGAGAATAGGTAATTAGTTATACATATTATTATTCGTGACAAAAAAAAATAAAAAAAAATTGTGGGTGATTTAAAATTATTTTTTATAAATTTGATTAGGTTTAGTTAATATAATTATTACATAAACTTTTTTTTTTTTTTTTAATATGAAATTTTAAATTTTGCCTTGCTTAAAATTATTTATAAAAATAAACATATAGACATATACATATATATACATATATATATATAAATAAATAAATAAAAACAGTTTTAATCAAAATGTTATTTGTGAATGTATGTTGCAGTCGTGTGAATGCTAAACAAATATTAAGAAAAAAAAAATGACTTATAATATTTTTTTCTTTTTTTTTTTTTTTGTCTTTCAAATTCTTTTGCTTAAATTTTTAGAATTTTTTTTATTTTTTCATATTTTTCACCGTTTTTTTTTAATGATAGCTTGTTATTATTTAAATTAATTAATTATTTAATTCAGTTTTTTATTTTTAAATAAATGTGTATTATAAAAAAAAAAAAAAAAATTTTTTTTAATAAATTGGCTTTTAACCTTTGCATTAGAAACTTTGTTGTTATAACTCTATGTAGTTTATTGGCGCGAAAATGTAAATAACGTACGAATGGTAAAAATTTCAGTTGGTAGTACTGAAAATTCTAATCGTCGCGCCATAGTGTAATTGTTATCTTTTGAATATACTTATAAACGTTATAATAAAATAAAGTTAGATTTTTAGTTTCTGTTATTTTTTAAATTGTTTTTTTTTTAAAAAATGGCTCAGCAATGCATTTATTTAAAAACATTAAAGGTATTTATTAAATTTATAAATAAGAAATTTGCTTCTTTTTTATTATGACTTACTAAAGTTAACTTTGCAGCAGTAGTCAAAGTATTCTTACGACACGACATTTTATTATGTAAGCGTTTATATATAAAATTCGTAAGAATTTTTTGCAATTTGCTGACTATATAAATTGTAAACTTACATTTTAAATTTAAATAGATTTTATAAAAGTTTTACACAATGATTTAATAATAACATAATTAGGAAAACATTTTTTATTTTTGCAACATTCAAAAAAAAAATTTTTTTAAGATAACCTAACTTTTTCACACATCTTAATTTTTATTATTCACGTGTAAACTCATTTCAAAATTAATTAAATAATTATTTGTAAAATGACAAATCAGTCTGACGAAAATAAAGGTGTTGCTAATATAAAATCAGAGTTTGTAGTAAGGAATAATGACATTGAAGAAATTCCAGCCAAAAAGCCGAAATTAGAAGAGACGAAAAAAAAAACAAAAGGACAGTTTAAAAATCGTTATAATCAGAATAAGTTACAATTTAACAAAAGTGAATCTCTCTGCGGATGTTTAAAAGATGTTGCTGAAGATTTACAGTTTCCTGACTGCACGGTTAGTAAATGCAAATTTTTACACGATGTTAAAAAATATCTGGAAATAAAACCTCCCGATATTGGAGATGAATGTTATGTATTTTCTACAAAAGGATATTGTCCTAGAGGTGTCACGTGTAGATTTGGGAAAAATCACATTACGGAGGATGGAAAAAATAAAAAAAATATCGAAATTATGGAAAATTATGGAAAAAATGGTCTTAAAGTTTTAAATACTAACTTTATTGATGTACAAATTAAACTGAGAAAAAAAAAGTATAATTTTTCAAAGTCTTTAGATATTCTTAACAAATTACCAAATTTTAAAAATTTAAACACATTTGGATTATCAAATGAAGAAACAAATATCGAGAATGATGAAAAATTTATTGAAAAACCTTTAGGCCCTTGTTCTGATGATGATCTATGTAAATTAAAACCAAGTGAGAAAAAAAAAATTAATTGGAAGGAAAAATTGTACTTATCGCCTTTAACAACCTTAGGTAATTTACCTTTTCGAAGAATTTGTAAAGAATTTGGTGCAGATATAACATGCAGTGAAATGGCAATGGCCACTTCTCTTTTACAAGGTTTAAAATATGAATGGGCATTAATTAAAAGACATGAATCAGAAGATTTATTCGGGATTCAATTGTGTGGAAATAATCCATTTGTTATGACAAAATGTGCTCAATTATTGGAAGAATCAACAAATGTTGATTACATTGATATTAATTTAGGTTGTCCAATTGATTTAGTTTATCAAAAAGGAGGAGGCAGCGGATTATTAAGACGAGAAAAAGTTCTTGAATCTGTTATAAAAAGTATGTCAAAAGTCATGAGTTTGCCATTAACTGTAAAAACTAGAACCGGTGTTTATGCTGATAAAAATGTAGCTCATAGACTTATACCAATGTTTGTCGATTCTGGAGTATCGTTGATTACAGTTCATGGTCGCTCCAGAGAACAAAGATACACAAGAACAGCTGATTGGAATTACATTAATGAATGTGGTAAAGCTGCTTCACCGATACCAGTTTTTGGTAATGGTGATGTTCTTTCATTCGAAGACTATAATAGAGCTTTAAAAGAAAATAATAATGTATCAGGTGTCATGGTAGGAAGGGGAGCCTTATACAAACCTTGGATTTTTAAAGAAATAAAAGAGCAAAAAAATTGGGATATATCATCATCTGAAAGATTTGATATAATTAAAAAATTTGTTAATTATGGTTTGGATCATTGGGGAAGTGACACAATGGGAGTTGAATTGACTAGAAAATTTACATTAGAATGGCTATCGTTTTTGTATAGATATATCCCCGTTGGATTATTGGAAAGACCGCCTCAAAAAATAAATGAAAGACCTCCTAAATATTTTGGTAGAAATGATTTAGAAACATTAATGGCAAGTCCAAATTGTGCAGATTGGGTTAAAATAACAGAAATGTTATTAGGCCCCGTTCCGGATGATTTTCATTTCTTACCCAAACACAAAGCAAATGCATGGGCTTCTTAAATTAAATTTCAAAAAAAATTCTAATTGAATTAAAATAAATAAATAAAATTATTAATATTTAATTATTGGTTTTTTTATTTATCTATATGATTTCAAAAATCAAAGGTATTAAATAGTATCAGTCATTCGAATAATATCAAATAAACAATTCAATCTGTTTTAAAATTTATAAAAAAAAAAACTATATTGTTTTTTTATTATTATTATCAATTACATTTTAAAAATAAATTTACAAAATGGAAAAATATTAATTGTTTATAAATGCATTCATAAAATTATTTAATAATATGGCACTTGACATAAACGTTATAATTTTTTTTTTTATTCTCCTCGTATAAAACTACAAAAATACTTTTTTTAATTGTTTTAACATAAAAAAAATTATAACAAAATTAAAAAAAAAAAATTTATTATTATTATTATATTGCTATTATTTGTACTTGATTGTATAAAAAATTTATTTTTTTAAATTTACAACAATATAAATTGAAATTACATAACAACAATTAATTAAATGCACTTTAATTCGTTAAACATTGATTACACAGCTAAGCTTTTTAAGCATGTTGTTATAAATTAAAAAAGAAAAAATTATATATAAAATGAAATACAATTATTATTATTATTATATTAATTAAATTAAATAAATCGTCAATTAAAAAAAAAAAATTATATGTATGCATATATAAAAAAAAAAAAAAAAATTATAATTTACATATTTCTCAATTTCATTTGTAATTCAAATCGTTTATTAGTTCTCACTCCGTTCAAATGGCAACGATTTTTATCTTTGATATTTCCCCTAAAAAAAAAATAAAAATAATTTTAAATGAAAATAAGTTAAATTAAAAAAATAAAATAAAAAACTTACTGAACGTTGTGAAAGGGTAATTTATTTTTAATGGTTTCTTTTTGTGCAATTTTAACATTTTTCAAATTTTCAACCGATGAACCTAATTTATTCGTACGAGTCTTTGTAGCAGATTGAAATTTAAATATATCATCATCATCACCATTCATTGATTTTTTACTAGGCTGAAATTAATTATTATTATTTGTCGATTGGAATGTTATCGAAAAACAATACAAAATAAATAAAATTTGATTAAAAGAAAAAAAAAAACCTTTGATTGAACCGATTGTGAATGTCCTAATAATTTTTTCATTCTTTCTTCTTTTTTTTTCAGGTAGTCTGTAAGCGAATCCATTTGTTCAAATTGTTTTTGATGAATTTTATTAAAATCAGGCATTTTATTAGCAACAATTGGTTTATTGGGCGTGATAAAGCTTTCTAAAAAAAAGGTATGAAAATTTTAATGTACTGCTTAATTTAAAAAAAAAATCATTTAAAAAAATGCAAGAGATAATTTTTACTCGATATATCAGATTGATTTAATTTTTCCGAGGTTTTGTCTTTGAGTGCTCGAGATTTATTTGTTAGCGTTCCAGGACTGGATTTGATATTAGATTTTGGTGTTAATGATTTTTTTCTCACTATTTCTTCAGGTTCTTTCTTCTTTTTTTTTTCCTGTAGTATTCTTTTTACATTTTCCTTGAATTCATCATTTCTGTTAGTTAAAATTTCAGCTTTTGTCAATTTTGAATTTGTTAAATTTAACACAGATGGTATTTTCGTGGGAAGTGGTTTTTTAGCTTGAGTTGACGACAGTAAAAGAGTTTTTGACGGTGTACTGCTAACAAATTTTTTTCCAATCGCAGGAGATTTGATTAATTCAATTTTAGGTGGTAATTTTGAATTTCTTTTTATGTTAATCGATTTTTTGGCTAATTTAAATGGAAAATCAACTTTATTTTTCTCATCTGTTTTTTCCCTAAAAATTCAATACAACAGTTAAACATTAAAAGTTATTTACCGAAATTTAAACGCAGGAATTTTTTTTTTTTTTTTTTTTTAAATACCTTCTAGTAATACTTGTGTAAGGGATAGTTAACATTTTGACTTGTCCACTTTGGTTTGAATTTCTTTTTTTATTTGCAACCAAAACATTTTCATCAAATTTTTTACCTAAATTTTTTTTTTTCTCAATTTCTTTTGTATCGTTTTTAAGAGAAACTTTAGCTATTTTATCAGTTTTTATTTTAACATCATTTAAATTTATTTCATTTAAAACTTGTTCAAATATTTTTTTTTCATTTTTCGGTATGTCATATGTAGCTCTGGAATTAGTCTTATCGAGTAATACACTTTCTTTTTGCGGTACTTCAAAAGTTGTTCTGGAAAATTTTGGTGATAATTCTACTGTCGTGTTAATATTTTTTTAGGTGCAATTTCATATGTTTCTCTAGATTTCATTTTATCATAGGTATTTGAATTTGTTGAATTTTTGTCAATATTAAAAGTCAGTCTTCTATCAAAATTATTTTCACCATTTCCATTTAATTTCGAATCGTTAAAAATAATGCTTCCATCGATCCAATCTCTTTCCTCAACATCTTGATTTGTTTGATTTTGTACATTTTTATTAAGAGCCAGCAAATTATCAATTAATTCTTGCTAAAATTTTAAATATTATTCTTTTACATTTTATTTCAAAAAAAAATTGATATCGATCATAAATAATAATTTTAAACATAAATACATATAGTGCAAATAACAAAATGAATTTTTTTTTTTTTTTTTATTAAACGCTTGTCTCATAATTTAATTTTCTCGTTAAAAATTATACTTACTTTTTTCGCCCATCTTTTATTTACATTCCATTGTATCGATAATTTTTGCAAGTCTTTAAATTTTAAAGAACTCAAATATTCAAATGTAAATGCATCAGTCTTTTCGGTAGTCATTTTTATTTTTAAAAAAAAACCAGGTGTGTAAAATAAGCTTCTTTGAAATGTTACAACAATTGTTAGTTTCAACGGTTTGCTATAATTCGACCAATCAGCGATCTTAAATCAAACAGGAAATTTTTTTTCTCACGTTGGTACCTCTCCTCTCCTATACTTATTTATTAGTTTAACTAATTAATAGATTAAAATATATAATTTTTCTTATCAAACGTTATGAAATATTATTGAAATATGTGAGTTGTTGTTTTATTTTTTTTTTATTTTAATTACTGTTAAAAAAAAAATGAAAAATTTTATTGATTAATATGCTTTTAATGGGTAAGTAATAATATCGCGTCATTTTCTATCTTTGTTTACACTTGTCAAAAACCGATTATGAAATATTGTAAAAAGCGTTAATTGTAAATTTTTTTAGACATGTATGTATTTATTTATTTTTTTATTTAAATATCATTCTAACTTACTTTGAAAGTTTTAATTTATAATTACAAATTAAAAAGTTTTTTTTGAGTACGTTATAGTACGGCATAACCGATAAAATATTTGTATAAAATAAAAGTTAAAGTAATATAAATAAATAGACTTGTTTTGTAATTTATAAAAAATTTATTTATTTATTTTATAAAAATTAATAACATTTTATTATAAAAATATAAATTATTGCTTATTTCATGCTTACTAAAAACTTTTATATCAAAAAAAAAAAAAAAAATTAAATTTAAATAATTTATAAATATTATTTATAAATTATTTAAATCAATATTGAGCAATCGAGCATGCTGTGTCTTTTATCTTTAGTTTTTTTTTTTTTTTTCCTTATTAAAATATAAATTTTATTTATTTAAATTTGTAATAAAATGTGTAAAAATTACTAAAAAAAAAAAAAACAATATGTATATAAAAAATTATTTTTATCTAATTTAAGTCACTTTTTTTTACGATGAATTTAATTACTTTCTTTGAGCGATCTCTGATATCTAAAAGAAAAGACAAAAAATTTGAAATTTTGCTCGATTAAAATGATTAAAAAATTAACAATTTAAAAAAAAAAAAAAATTAATAATAATTACTTGACGGCTCTAAAAAATTGAAATAAATTAGTTCCAGCTACAAACATATTGACGCTAAATAAACTCCAATTTTTCGGAATGATAACTAATGAATATCTAGCCCATATGACTCCAGTTGCTGCCAATGATCCTGATTGTGAAACGCTTAAAGTTTCAACTGGACGAGATAAATCTCCAATTCCAGCAACGACTAAACCCTAAAAACATGGCAAATTAAAATTGCTTATTTTTAATTTTAAGTTTTAAACTATAAGAAAGGGTGAATTTGTATTAATTATAGATATAATGTTAAGTTGTTAAATTTTTTTTATTTTGTAATTTATTTTAACGATGGCCATTTTATTAAAATTTTAATTATGATTAGATGAAACATGGGGGAAAACTTTTTATATGTGTAAAGTGAAATTTTTTTATTTTAAAAAAAAAAAAAAAAGTATACCCATTTGACAATTGGTGCCCAAAAAAATATAGTTTTTGGCCCTGAAAATAAAAAATAAATGATTTTTTTTATAAAAATAAATTTTATTAATAATTATCATTTTATCAAAATTATTCAAGGTTATAATTTGAAGGTAATACACACACACACACACACAATGCTTAAGTAAAACCATTTTTTTTTTTTTATAATGAATTTTTATTATTTTTTTCCTAAATTTAATTGTAAATAATTTTCAATTAAAAAAAAAAAAAAAAAAAAAAAAACTTTTTTGAAAAATTCAGGTACAATAGTTTGAATTGTTTTCGAAAATAAAGTTTTATTAAATATAATCATGAGTGTCATTGTGATACGAATTTTAATTAAATCAGTTTTTTTTTTTATTTATTTATTTAATAATCAACGATCTGATAAAATAAAATTAAATTAAATAAAAGGATTAAAATTACCTGCTTCGTGATTCCACAACGGTTGTAATTTTGGCGGGACAAATTTGTCCAAAACTGCGATACTCCTTCTGTAAATTAACGACATTTTTTTATTATATTAATTTTAATCTTGGCGATCATCATCGACGTACGTCGTCGTCGTCGTCGTGGTCGTGTCCTTTCCAAAGTCAAAAAAAAATTTTACGATTTTATCCGATTGTACCCGAAGTTAACGATCGCGGACAACCATTAGTATTCTTAATAAAATTTTCTATCAAGTCAAACCGGTTTTTTTTTTTTTTTTTTTTTTTCAGCATCAAAAAAAAAAACGGATAATTTATTTAGAATTTATTTTTGTTATTCCTTTTTTAAATTAATTTCATATCAAAGTAAGTTAGATATATTTTAAATAGTATATCTTATCTTTATGAAGTGTTATAATAAGTCGACGAGTTGTAGAAAACATAAGTAATAATTATATTATAGAACAAAAAAATGTATTCAAATAAGTTTTTTTATTTTTCATTTGATTTTTTCAAATTAATAATTTTAAAAATTAAATAATAATAAGTTTTTTTCCGATCGAAAGGATTTTTCACACCGAATTACATTTTCTCGCGAACCGAAATTTTTGCAATTCTTATAAAGATACCCGTCACAAGAAGAAAAAGAAAAACCGCCATTTTTATTTCGAAGAATAAAAAAAAAAAAAAAACGTTATTTGTTCTTATTCAAAATCGAATACTTTTTTTTTTTTAAAAGCATTCTAAAAATATTAAAATACAATTCCCTGATTTTAATTATAGATTTTTAATTAAAACTCTTCTTTTTTTTTCTTTTTATAGACGGGAAACTCGTATAGTTTTGTCACAAAATTTATCCCCTTAATAATCGAAACAACGTTTAACGTTTTTCAAAATGGCCGCTCCGAGTATTCAATATTATTACATGTAAAGTAAGTGAAACGATTAAAATTTTTTTAATCTCTTTAATAATGATATTATCTTATCTAACAACTTTTCGGCTTATTATCTTTCTTAATGAAGATAATTATTATTATTATTAAAAACGTTCTTTTAAAAATATATTTTTAATTTGTTTAAAAAAAAAAAAAAAAAACACTTAGTGTGAGTTTTTTAATGAGATTAAATTCAACTTAAGTATTTGTCATTGTTTTAAATCATTTTGATTAATTTTTTTTTGTTTTTTTTTGTTTATTCTTTGTTTTAGGCTTGACGGATTGGAAAGACTAAAATAATGAAAAATAATATTGATAATAATAATAATAATAATAATAATTGCACAAATTTTAATTTTTTATTTTGGAATGGCTGATTATATATATATATATATATTAATTAATTAAAAAAATCGATTGGATTCATAAAGGATGCTCATTGAAAGGTTATTATTTTTTGTTATTTATTTATTAATTAAGATTGTTTATATGAATGTATTTGTGTTTGTTTAAATATTTTATTTTTTCACTTAACGAAATAAGAAATAATAGAAAAGAGAGAGAGAGAAATGATTTCGTACAAGTTTCAAAGAGTTTTACACACTCGACGCCATGTTCGTTTAAAATAAACAGAAAAAATTATTATTAATTACGTTTTCAACTATTGTTTTTTTTTTTTTATTTTAAAAAATTGATTTATTATTATTATTTTAATGCATTAATTAAAATGAAAGGCTAACGTGTATAAAAATACGCAAATCTTTAAGAGTTTGAGAAAAGAAAATTATTTAGGTTCGAATTAAAATTAAAATAAACTTGTTTATTAAACAATGAATTGTAAATTAAATTGCAATTCATATTCCGTTATTAAATTACATATAATAAATAATTTTCGTTTTAAATTAATTTTTAATTTTTTTTTTCAGATCGTGCGAAAAATAAAATGAAATTTCACTTTTTATTC